ATGTTAAGGGATCAGTTTACACTACCAACAGTTGGTTAGCTAGTCCAATCGGACTGTATCATATGACTTTCATTTACCAAGTATCAAGTTTTAAATGCGATCACCATAGATCTTTCTGGCCTGAACTATATAGATTATGCTATATGTTACTACACTTTTGTTTATATGTTTGGTTTTAGTGATTACATAAAAAACTCTGCTTAATATAAATGCTTATCTCATGCCTTGCTTTCTCAGCAATCAAGTTGATAGGTGTCTTTTTATGGATGAAGGCTTTCAGAAAGACCAGGCTGCCCATAAGAGTTCAAGAACTAAATATAACATGTCCAAAGAGGTAACAGGCTTGACAGTTATACAGTGTCGCAGGAAGAATGTCTGAAGGACATGAGCAGTTTTAATTCCTAAGAAGCCTTGATGACTTTAGAAAACCAGTAAAATGTCATTAGTAACCAGTCTGCTTGGATAATTCAGCACTAACGCATTCTGAGGATGTATTTGGAGAGTTTTACATGAGATCCTTGTTTTTGTTTTTGTTTTTTAAGTAATCTGAAGTTTGCCTACACAATATATAGTCTCTACAGAAGTATTACCAGCATATAGATGATTCCCTTGAAAGGCAATACTTACAAAGGGAACAATATTTTAGAAAAGCAACAAGTTCTTGATTTGTTATGCGTTGCAATATATAATAATTTCCAACGACCTACTTTAGTGGAAGTGAGTATGGAAGTTTTAAGATATTCCCTAGGCTTCTTGTGCCTTTATGACCCTACCATTTTCTTGTTTCTGCTCTGAAGGCTCTATTTATATACCTAAGCATATTTTCTTTTCTTTTCTTTTTTTTTGAGACTGAGCCTCAAGCTGTCACCCTGGGTAGAGTGCTATGGCATCACTGCTCACAGCAACCTACAACTCCTGGGTTTTAAGCAGTTCTCTTGACTCAGCCTCCCAAGTAGCTGGGACCACAGATGCCCACCACAATGCCCGGCTATTTTTTGGTTGTAGTTGCCATTGTTGTTTGGTAGGCCCTGGCTGGATTCGAACCCACCAGTGCCAAAAGGAAAGAAGAGAAAGGCATTGAGAGAACAGCAGCATTATTCAGAAGGGATGAGAGGAATATATGAACAGACAAGTCAGTCATTCAGAGTATAGGAGAAACCAGTAGACTGGAGGAAGCGAAGCCAAGCCAAGCCATAGATTGGCAACAGCTTTCATTAGGCAAAGTTCATATAGAAAATGGAGACAGTTGATCAAAAATAATATGTCTCTTACTTGATTAAAGTTTCAAAAAAAAAAAAAAAGGGTAGCGCCTATGGCTCAAAGTAGGGCCCTGGCCCCATGTACCTGAGGGGGCAGGTTCAAAACCCAGCCCCAGCCAAAAACTGCAAAAAAAAAAAAAAGAAAAATTAAAAAATTTTTTAAAAGTTTCAAAAAATTTTAAATAATGTAATGTGGCACTGAAGTTTTAAAATGTAAATAAGGTTCCCTCTTAAAATTAATGTTAAAACTAACTTGTAAATTGAATTGCCAAGCAATAATATATAATTAAATCTACTTATAATTAGCATGGTTAATAAATAATAGAGATGACTCATACACACATATCTGGGGAGAAATGGAGCATGCTCATATGCCTAGAAAGTGCTTTTTTTAAATCTACAGTAGTCTTCAAACTTTAGTGTGGGTTTTGTTATTGATAAAATAAAGTTTCTCAATCTTGGCAATTTTGAAATTTCAGGTAGGACCATTTTTGTTGTGAGAGACTGTCCCTTGCCCTCTAAGATGTTTGGCAGCATTCCAGGCCCATGAGGCACCAGTAGCACCCCTCCCCCAGTCACGTTTCCAGGTATTGCCAAATGTCCCTCAGGGCAATCACTCTCTCCTTTGAAAATCGCTAGTCTAGGATAAAGTTCAGAGACTTGCCTTTCTAGTAAAAATACCTAGGTGATCCTAATAAATATGGTCAGTGGGCCACATGTGAGAAATAATGGAACTAAAGTGTTATGAGTTGAACTCTGTTCCCCAAAATTTGTAGGTTAAAGTCTTAACCCTCAGTACCTTAAAATCTAACCCTATTTGGGAACAGAGTAATTGGAGATTTAGCTAACTGGAGTAAGGATGGGCCCCTAGTTCGTTTTGACTGGTGTCCATAAGAAATTGTGGATAGCAGACACACGCAGGAAGCACACCATGTACAGAATGAAGTGATGCTGCCACAGGCAAGAACAAGTTAGGAGAGAATCCTGGGACAGCTCCTTCCCTAGAGCCTTCAGAGTGAGCATTGGGGTGCCAACCCCTTAATGTCAGACTTCTAAATTATTATGCTGAGAGACAATAATTTCTGTTACTTAAGCCACTCAGTTTCTGGCACTTTGTTATAGTAGCCCTAGCAAGTGAATACTTCAAGAAAAAACAAAACACAAGTCAGAGTTTAGGATCGGGACATTTGAAGAAGTATCAGGAAGAAAAATGAAGAGACGGCAGACTGGTACCTGTTCCCAATTTATCTTTCTCATAGTCTGAGAAAGCTCTAGTGAGCCTAAATAGGTACTCAAGAAATTGATAATTTTTCATGAAGCACTCTTCAAATATATCTTGTCTAAGTACTGTATTCCCCTGTTGTCTTTGGGGGGATGTGTTCCAAGACCCCCAGTCCTAAAACCTCAGAAATACTGAATGTTACATACACTATGTTATTTCTGTATTTGTTATTTCTACAGGAATACATATGTACCTATGATATAGTTTAATTTATATATGTGCTGCCAAAGCAAGCACGATAGTTTAATTTATAAATTAGACAGAGGTTAAGACAATAATAAAATAGAACAATTATAATATACTGTAATAAAAGTTATGTGAGTATATTATCTCATAAGATCTTAAGCTGTACTCATTCTTCTTGTCGTGTAAGATGATAAAATGCCTATGTGATAAAATGAAGTGAGGTAAATGACTTAAGTATTGTTACGTGAATGGAAAATTCCAGAAATAAGTAATTCTTAAGTTTTAAATTTTCATGCAGTTCTGAATAGCACAGTCATACTCCATCCCTGCCTGGATTGTCTTTAGTCAGCAGCTATCTCAGATCCACTAATGTGGCGAAGCAGGGCCTATGTTTAAGTAATTCTTATTTTACTTAGTAATGGTCTCAAAGTGCAAGAGTAGTGATATGAAATTTTCAGACCTTGGTTGACCAAGGTAACTGAAACCTCAGAAAGTGAAACCTCAGGTTTAAGGGAGGACTACTACAGTATATTAAGAGGAACACGTTAGAATTTGTTCCTTTAAAGTGTTGAAATTACCCATCATGTTCAGTTTTCAAGCTTTAGCTGGTATTAAATAGCAACTGGATAGATTGAGTTGCCTGGAAGACAAATGGAATGCATAAATTATGCCATGTTTCATCGAGAAGGTAATATGTAAGTGTGAAATTCCATATAAAGCAAAAATGCATTGACTGTGATCACACTGTAGCTTTAAGAAGTGTTGACTGTTTCAGGTCACAAAGGCACTATTTAGAGTACAGCAAGTCAGACTATGGGTCCAGCAGGCTACACAGTCATGTGCCTACTACCCAAAGTGGGCGGTTCACACATTCTCACTGGAAGGATTAAGAGAGCTTAAAAGGTATGAACCCTAATAGTTTCATTTGTAATAAAAGTGCACACTGTTGGCAAATATTAGTCTTTTTTTCCTTGAGTAAAACAAAAAAAATCTTACTACCAGACTTCTTAGTTCTTGTTTCCTCCTACAAATGAAGGGAATAAAAGGAAACGAGTCTCCTTGTCTCAAGATTTTAGAATAAAAAGTTGTAAAGCTTCTAGCGCAGATGAACCCTCCCCCCGTTTATTTTTCCTACTCCCACAAGCACAAACTGGTTAATGACAAAGAATGGTAGGAGGAGCCGACCAAGAGCTCCTACAAATGTCTACAAGTTAAGTCAAGTGATCAGACACAAACAAGGTTAGAACGCTTAAGTGCCCTTTACAAATCAGGATAAGCTAACAGAACGTTAACCTGGACGCCTCTGCCAAACTCTAATTTGGCTATAATTTTACCCCACTAAATCCCTTCACCTTCAATCAAGGAAATATTCCCAGTGCCCTTCAGAGTCACATCAAGTTGCTGCCAGATCCCAGCTTAAATTATGTTAACAGATTTGTTTCCTGGGGGACAACGTGGTGGGGGTGTGTAATTAGGTTTGGCACCTGGTCTAAAAGGCCCCAGGAGGTTAGGATAGGGACTACCAATTCTCAAGGCTATTTTGTTTTTTTCTCCGAAAGAGGGCAAGACCGGTAAAGAACAGACTCGGTGTCTCTGAGAGGAAGAGCTGCAGGCAGACAACATAGAAACCCAGGGCATGAAAAGTAGAATCGGTTTTTATGGCAACGCTGATAGTATTATGCCTTCTCCGACTTCTCCAGTTGTTTTTCCCCCAAATTACTGAATCCTCTTACCCAAACCAGGCCAAAGGAGGGGGTAGTTTTTTAATCCCTTTGAGTGCCTCTCTTCTTCCTCACCATCTCCACTTTTCCTCCAAGCACACCGCTATTCCCCACCCACCGCCCCAAAGGTAGGGGCTCATGCCTAAATACAGACTCTACGGTCCAGTGCGGGCAGCTCCGGTCTAGGGCTGTTGCCCAGAAGAAAGTCTGACGCCGAGAAATCTAATCTCCCACGTCTGATCTCTGTAGCTATTGTGCCTCTAGGGAACGGCAGAACAGGTGAGGGCGGCTGGAGGGAACCAGTTCCGCGACAGTCCGAGAGAGCGAAGTGAGGGTACCGGGCGCGGGAGGGAGGGCACGAAGGCGCGATAAGCCAAAGGGGCGCCACCGGAGCGCCGCCTCTCTCCCCCAGATCACCTTGCGCTGACCTAGCAGAACCGGGATGGAACCCCAGCCGGCGAGGACGGGCTGGGCGGGAGGGGGGCGGGGCCACCGGAGGGGGTGGGGCCTCGAGCCGGATTTTTCTGGCGCTCGCCTGTGATTTGCCGACCAATTCGAGCCGGAAGCGGGCTGGGAGGTGTTGGCGGCGGCGGCGGCGGCGCACGTGGTGACGTGCAAGGGGGTGCGGCGCGAGCGGTTGGCGGCGGCAGAGGCAGTGTGTCCCGGTCGCGTGTGGAGGTCGGTCGCTCAGAGCTGCTGGGGGCGCTTTCTCCGCCTGCTGCTGCGACGCAGCTGTGCCAGCGAGCGAGCGAGTTCCCGCGAATTCTCGGTGGCGCTCCGCCCTCGTCGCTGCCTCCACGGACTGGCCGCTAGTCCTCCCGCTCGATCGCTTCCCCCATCCGTCGCCTCGAGGCGCTTTCGGTTGGGCCGATTCCCGCCCGCTTCCTCCTGCTCCCCGTCGAAGCTCTAGAGATGAATTTTTCCATCTCTTCAGGGATGAGCCAGGTAATAAGTGCTGATTCTACAGACTGTAGATTAGAGGATGGCACGGGCGGTTGGGAAAAGGGTGGAAGGCGCGGAGCGGCGTCCCGGTCTCCAGGGAGGATGCCCGGAGCCGCTGTCGCTCTTTGGGACGAGAAGGTGGCGCCGCGCTGGGCCCGAGTGCCAGGCGCTGCCATGGTTGCCGAGTTGCGTCGGCGGCCGAGGGAGGGTGCCGGCCGCCTGGGAGAACGCCGAGCCTCAGGTCCCTTTTCTACACCGGGGCGGGGGAGGTAGGGTGGTAGGAACAAGAGGTTTTTGCTCGAGGGATCCTTGGGAGCCTGGGTCGGGGCGCCACCGGGCGGGGGTGACCCGCCAAAAGGAGGGCGCGGGACTCTGGGTTTTCGCAGTTAGGGATGGACGCCTCGCATCGGGGTTGCCTGGGATCTGTTTTCTCCTGTGTGTGAGCTCCTGGGACCCGGCGCGTGTAGGCGGGCAGTCAGCCCTGGGCCTGCGGTGGAGTGGTACCGAGTCCTAGATCGCCGTGGGCCGCGGGGTCCTTTGTTCCCCGCTCCACGTTGCCCGCTTTTCTTGCCAAGCGCGGGGAGAAGGGGGCGGGAGAAGGAGGGAACGGCTGCCCTGACGTGTCGGCGCTGAATGACTGTGGGGCCGGCCAATCCCGGGCGGTGGTGTGCGGGCGCAGGGCGCCTGGCCTCCCAGCCTTCGAAACGGGCTCTGGCCTGGCCGCGAAAGGAGGAAGGCCTGGGGCTGCAGCACCGGCCAGTCACTTCTGGGCACTCTTTTTTACTAAAGAAGTAGGTGGCGAGGTGTGCTCTTTTTTCATTCTTACCCGCTTTTTTACTAAGGGTCTCTGGTCATGATAATCGGAAGGCATCAATATCAGGTTAGGGTTGAACGTAGGGGAGAACTTGAACTACTACTTTAGAACTGTGCCCACCCCCCACCCCCCAATACGTAGTAGACAAATCTGTTGGTTTGAGAAAGCTGACATTTCAAACAAGGAGCGGTCGGATGACCTAAAGGGCGCTTTCCTAATGCCTATTGTCAAGGATGGCAAGTTAGAACATCAAGCTGTTCTTTGAGTTCTTATGTATTATGATCTGTCTAGTAATACGTGAGAACTCTTAAAAAGCCTGGTATTAACAGTTGCACAAGTACAGCATAAATTTGACTACCAACAAGACATACTTTCTTTTAATAATTTGAATACCAGCAGTTGGTTTAGGAGTAACAAATACCGATGAGTATTTTTAGGCTGAATCCTCTTGAAATTTCTGTCCTTCGGGATGCAAAAGGAGCAGTTGTGTTTATATATCTGGACATGGGATAAACTGACTTTAGAATTGGACTGAGACTAGTACCATTTAGTAGTCGAAGTAAACTGGACTTGAGCCACTAACCAGAGAGAGACTTGGAATGGTTTTCCTCTGTATTTTCATAATAGATGAAATCTTTAGTTAATTAATATAGATTTCTATAGTCATTGTCTTAATTTATAATTATGTATTTTTAACTTTTTCTACCATAACAAATCATTTCAAATTTTAGTCATAGTTTTAAATTAGTATCTTTTTGGTACTTTCTTCTTAGGAAGGTGGGGTTTTGTTTTTCTAGCTTGAGGGATACGTCAGAATGCAATTTAATGTGTTTTTGCAAATAAATTTTTTATTTTAAGATCTTCCTATTAGGGAAATAACTTTTTTTTTTTTTGGAGACAGGGTCTCTTTAGCCCAGGTTGCCTGGGCTAAAGTGTGCATCTGGCACCTCAAACTCTTGGGCTCAAATGATCCTCTTGCCTCATCCTCCTGAGCAGCTGGGATTACAAGCACTCACCACCATGCCCAGCTAACTTTTTACTTTTTGTAGAGACAGGGTCTCACTATTGCTTAGGCTGGGCTCAAACTACTGACCTCAAGTGACACCTCCTCACCCCCAGTCTCAGCCTCCCAAAGGGATAGGATTACAGACCCTATTAGTGAAACAGGGTAATCATTGATTGTACAAATAATTGTACAAATTATAAACAAAAAATTTCATTGACTTTTTAGCAGTATGATCGTACAGTTAAATTCTACAAGTAGGAATTTTTTAAAGTTAAGGGTCTTACCATGTTTTCTGCTAAAGTATACATTGGTATTATGAATAAGGAAGTGATTTCTGGGTTTGTTAGAACTATAAAAAAATACATGCTTATTTTATAAATTTAAGTTACCACCTTGGTGAATGATTCTAAACCTGCACCTAGATCAATATTCTGAACACTTCCCATATTACCCTGAATGCCTAACAGGTACCTCAACTAGAAAGAACATCACAAACCAAATTCTTAACTTTCCTTTCTTCCTGTCTGTCTGAATGCAGCAAATAAAAAATGACAGTGTTACGCTTCTTGGAATCCTTAGTTAAGATACACATTTGAATAATACAAGCTACTAAGTCTTCCATTGCCTTAGTGTGAGTGTGCAGAATCTTTACTTAACTGAACTGTTTCCTCTTACCCGTCCCCCATGTCTGTTATAATGGCCTATCCTTCCTTCCTTAAATCCTTCATCTGTTCTCCATACTCAGCACTGTTCAAACTTCGGAATTAGTTTCTCTTCCTTTCCCACTGTTGACCATGTGCATCTGCAAATCTACGAAAATTCTACTGAAATGAAATAGCTGTAGTTTCTGGAATAAATTTGCTGTCATACTTTTTTCCCCCTTTTGTTCAGGTGTTTTCACTGCTTGATTTATCCGTTTTCCTGGCTTGCCTGGGAAGTGTTTAAAGGATAGGGAATTGAATTAACTCAATTGTTATCAGCATTCCAGTTCATTCTGTGCCTGCCATGTGTTTGGTGCCACAAGTGTTTGTTTTGTAATGAAAGAATTACAAAACTATGAGGTAAAAGCTTGGCGCAAATAAGTGAGTTTGGTGAGTTTTGATATACATAGATGGATGGTGATAGGGATTTTTAGAGGAAATATTGGGAAGCCGAAACATCTGTTGATTTATTTTGCATTGTGAAATCTCTCCTTTTAAAATGGAGTGAATTGCTATTCTGTGGGAATTGACTGTCTTTAAAAGATCGCCTTTATGCTTAAATATTTGTAATTTGTTTTGAAATTGTAAGGATGCTTTGAAAGTTTAATAATAACATTTTAATTTGTTATTAAGGAAAGCCAGAAAAATTACAAGAGGCCATATTTTTCCTTCCTATCTTATAACTGTGGTAAGACCAGTTGAATTGTATTTCACTTAAGCTAATCTTTCTGGGGTATAGTAACTTGTGAACTTATTGGCGTTAATTAAAATGGTTTGATTACTCATTTATGAATTGTCTATCTCCTTTTTCTTGATCTAACCATACAGTGGAACTGAAATATTGTTTTTATCAGAGCATATTGTATTTGATCCCAGTTAATCTTAAAAGTGGATTAATTCGAAGTGTATTTTAAATACCAAACCAAATTGAAAGTTTTATACTCTTCTGAGACTCTGGGATATTTGGACTTTTGGTTTAAATTTTCAAAGAAAAAATTATCTCCATTTTTTTTCATTCCTCTAGTTACTGTGCTTGAGTTTCATAGACATATAAGATCCTCCAAGAATTTCAGGGTTTTTTTTTTTTGCAGTTTTTGGCTGGGACTGGGTTTGAACCCACCACCTCTGGCATATGGGGCCGTGCCTTACTCCTCTGAGCCACAGGTGCCGCCCTCAGGGGTAGTTTTTAAAACTCTTTGATTTGCCCAAGCTTACTTTTATAGAAGTGACTGTGAACTTTTAAAAACATAGATTTGTTGTTAGGAGTTGACCTGACTCCTGCACAATTTAAGGAAGGTTGGAAGGAAGAACACAGGATATGAGGGAGTAATTGAATAAAGTAAGTTCACATTAACTATAATGTCATTTGGACTGGGGCTAGTTTTTAAAATTAAGTAGGGTTGTACTGATCAGTAGATAGATGTTAAAGAGATGAGGTTCTCGTTAAGACTTTGATGTACTAAATGTACTAGGACTCATTCTATCCCAGGTTGCTCCAAAAATGCTCCAGTATATTCTCCCAAAGGACACAGAAGAATTCTTTTTCTTTTCTTTCTTTCTTTCTTTCTTTCTTTCTTTTTTTTTTTTTTTTTAAAGAGACAGTCTTGCTCTGTTGCCCAGGCTGGAGTGCAGTGGCTTGATCATAGCTCACTGCAGGCTCAAATGCCTGGATTCAGGCCATCCTCCTGCCTCAGCCTCCTGAGTAGCTGGAATTATAGGCTCCTGCCCAGCTATTTTTTGGGTTCTTAAGGATGGTGTGTTCACTCTATGTATATAAAATTTTGTGTATTTAGGAGAACGTTTGTAGGAAGAACTCAGTTAACCAATCTATATAAAAATGTAGAGCTGAGGAAATCAGTATTATGTAACAGTTTACAGTTCAATATACTGGTAGTTTCAATGCGGAAGTAAGCATCTGCAACAATCTCAAGCTGAGTTGGAATACTTGGGTGTCCTTGAAATGAAATCTAAATGTTGGAGGCCTGTGAGATCAGCTCTTACAAATTTTGTCAACATGTTGAACTTAATACAATTGGTTTGGTACATCAGAACTGAATGAACCGGCTTGCATTGGAGCCTGTGGTAAGTGTTATTCACTTTGACATAATTGTTAGATTTACAACTTTGGGTTTGCTTGATGCATGAGGCAAATCCAGGTAATTTTAAGAAAAATTGATAATATTTGCAGATATTTCAAATGCACATATTTCAAGTAATTTCTTATTTAATTCTGGTTTCCTGAATTAACAGTGGTGTAACAGAAGTTCAGGTGATCAAAAAATGAGTGCCATATGAATATGTCGCTAGTAATTGATGACATCGAAAATGAGGGGGAAAGAATAGGTAGGAATACTGATTACCTTGAGATTTGGTTTGAACCAGAAATTCTGTTAGTAGCTCTTACTCTGTAGGAGAAAAATGGTCAGGCAAAGCACAGATATTATTTTCCCTTTTGTTTATTTAGTTTGTTTCAACCAATTACTCATCTTCAAGTTCAAGTTCCTAAGTTCTGGTAGGAGTAGAAGAGTTTGGATGCAAAAGATGAACAAGATAGACAGGCTTTGCCTTCATGGGGCCTTGAATCAAGGAAGGTAATAAAGTACACAGAAGCATAGAACAGAGTAGATCGGCTGTAAGATCATACCTACCTTTCTGAGAGGATTCTCTGTGTGGAGGATAAGGAGAAACTGTTTTCCAAAGGGAGGATTTCCAGGAGGTCTTATAGTTGTGAGATTTCATCTGGCAAAGGTTAGGTTAAGGGCATTCAAGGTAGCAACAACTTCAACAAAGTTGCAGAGGCAGGGAAGTACAGAGCACATTTTGAGTATGTCTAATTTGTAACCTATATGTGGGGCAGCCCCTGTGGCTCAGTGGGTAGGGCTTCAGCCCTGTATACCAAGGGTGCTGGCGGTTTCAAACCTGGCCCAGGCCAAATTGCAACAACAACAACCAAAAAAAAAAAAAAAAATAGCTGGGCATTGTGGCGAGTGTCTGTAGTCCCAGCTACTGAGGAGGCTGAGGCAAGAGAATCACCTAAGCCTAGGAGTTGTAGTTTTCTGTGAGCTGTGACGCCACGGCACTCTACCAAGGGTGGTAAAGTAAGACTCTGTCTCTATAAAAAAAAAAAAAAGAAAGAATTTAATAGTAACAAATATTGAGGTAATGGATATTTATGTTTGTTCTGCAATTTTTATTCTTAAACTGGAAGTCATTAGCTCCTGCCCCCTGGGTAAGGTTTCTTCTTTTCATTGTTGGGGATTCATTGAGGATTTCTTTTTTTTTTTTTTAATATTTTTTTATATCTGGGTAAGGTTTTTAAAAATCATTTTATCACCTAGGTAGTTGCAAGTTAAGTTTTAAAAGGTTCTTTGCATTTCTATTTATTTTTATGTAGTGTAAATATTTTTGCCATTAACCTCAAAATCAAAGATCAGGACTTGTTTTGCTTGATCTGCTCTACCTAGTTGAATAACAGTTTCTGAAAATCTAACTTAAATTTGTCATTGTTACAGATTATGATGTACCATTATCACAGAAGAAATTTGTGTCTATAGCTTTTAAGGACTTGATTACATCATTTTCAAGCCTGATAGTTTTGGAATCCACAATTGGAGCTTAAGACACATCTGCTTTTACTCTGACCACCTGTCTTCGTACCTTGACAAACTGCTGCGTTTTAACACTCCTTTGTCTCTGGATTAAGAGTTCTCAGAAATATATTTGTCACCAATATAATAGGTAAGTAATCTTCAGTGCATAGTCCAGTATTGACTTATTTTTTTTTTTTTAGAAGACTGCTGAGTACATGAACAGTTTCATAATTTTTAAAAAGTCAGGGAACCTGTAGTCCCAGCTACTTGGGAGTCTGAAGCAAAAGAATCACTTAAGCCCAAGAGTTTGAGGTTGCTGGTGAGCTGTGATGCCATAGCACTCTATCAAGGACAATGTAGTGAGACTCCGTCTCAAAAAAAAAAAAAAAAAAAAAAAGCAGAGAAGCCAGTAATCGTTTGATATGAATATGAAAAATATTTTCATATCTTCCTTTCTATAGTTTGACTTTAAACATATCAGTGACTTTAAACTGCAATATATTACTGCTTTTTAATGATATATTATGTGTAGTTATGGTGAAATGCAGAATTTTTTAAAGTTGTTACATAATCTTATAAGTGATTTAAAATACATGAAACTTACAAAGGGAACAGACTATAAGTTTTATCTTTTTAAATTTCTTTACCTTATATACATATGTGGTATATTTTAAAACATTTAAAAAATCACTTGGCAGATGCAATGAGGAAACTTATCAGATCTTTCTGTTTTAGGCAAGAGAAGAAAAAGATGCGCAATTTTCTACGTCTAAATTGTGATTGTATATAATTTTGAAAAATAAAGTCAAATAGGGACTCTTTAAGGAAATTGAAAAAGGGTAGGATTGAGATAAATTTTTCTCATTTGTGAGTAAAGGAATGACAGGAGCCTCAATCCAAGGAAACCTATAAGTGATGGCTACTTTACATCCTTAGGTTGCTCATTATATGAGTTTGGACAGGACAGAATTTCATTTCCTTGCCTTCAGAATGAATGTGCTAATAGGCATGGAAACCTGGTCAGAATTATCAAGATACCACTACTGTATGAATCCGTACAAAGACTTAGGACTGGCTGGGTGGTGGCTCAATCCTGTGAATCCTGGAAGGCTCTGGGAGGCTGAGACAGATGGATTGCTTGAGCTCACAAGTTCGAGACCAGCCTGAGCAAGAATGAGACCCCCATCTCTACTAAAAAATAGAAAAACTAGCCAGGTTTTGTGATAGATGCCTGTAGTCCCAACTACTTGGGAGGCTCAGGCAAGAGGATCCCTTGAGCCCAGGAATTTGAGGTTGCTATGAGTTATGGCCACAGCACTCACTCAGCAACAGAGTAAGGCTGTGTCTCCAAAAAAAAAAAAAAAAAAGACTTAGGATCAAAGTATGGGGGTACCAATTGTACATTCAACACCAGTGTTGTTTTCAGCTAAGTTTTTGTGAAATAAGTTTTTTTTTTTTTTTTTTTAAGTACATACAAAGTCTTGCTATGTTGCCCAGGTTGGTCTCAAACTCCTGGCCTCAAGGATAACATTTTTGCTTGTTATTTATTGGATGGAATTTGAGAATAAAAATAGTGTGAATAAAAATACTCTTTAAAAAGGCCACCATTTGCAAGTAATTTTTTTTTCTGCTTTTTAGCCACATTTAAAAGGAAAAATGATTCCCAATGGATATTTGATGTTTGAAGATGAAAATTTTATTGAGTCTTCTGTTGCCAAATTAAATGCCTTGAGGAAAAGTGGTCAGTTCTGTGATGTTCGACTTCAGGTATTTAAACCTTAATTGGAAATCTATAGTATTTACTTTTTGTTACTAAAAGATTATTATCTTTTTCATAAGGAGTCAATGAAATGACCTTTAAAAAGAAACTTAACCCGGCTCGGCGCCTGTGGCTCAAGTGGCTAAGACGCCAACCACATACACCTAAGGTGGCAGGTTCAAATCCAGCCCGGGCCCACCAAACAACAATGACGGCTGCAACCAAAAAATAGCCAGGCATTGTGGTGGGTGCCTGTGGTCCCAGCTACTTGGGAGGCTGAGGCAGGAGACTCGCTTGAGCCCAGGAGTTGGAGGTTGCTGTGAGCTGCGATGTGACGGCACTCTACCCAGGGGGACAGCTTGAGGCTCTGTTTTAAAAAAAAAAGAAACTTAACCTAGAAATATAAGATGCAAGAGTCTAATGTAGTAATTAGCTAGAGAAGTACATAATCCAGAACACTTAAAATTTTACAAGTACATTTTTATCCTTTATACTTTCAGGTCTGTGGCCATGAGATGTTAGCACACAGAGCAGTGTTGGCTTGCTGCAGTCCCTATTTATTTGAAATATTTAATAGTGATAGTGATCCTCATGGAATTTCCCATGTTAAATTTGATGATCTCAATCCAGAAGCTGTTGAAGTCTTGCTGAATTATGCCTACACTGCTCAGTAAGTACTTAGAAGTAGACCATATCAGAAAATTCCAGATCTCTCTAAATACATTTAAATTAAGTATCTGTTTTAAACTTCTAGTATCATAAATAATAAAGAATTTTTTTTAATAGGTTGAAAGCTGATAAGGAATTAGTAAAAGATGTTTATTCTGCAGCAAAAAAGCTGAAGATGGACCGAGTGAAGCAGGTAGAGAATTATAAGTAATATTTAAGGAATTACTATTATTTATGAAGACTTAACTTTGTGTGATCAGAATGCAGGATTTGTCACTAAACATTCTGTTAGTCTCAAGAACTTGAAAGTGCCCCCTTTCCCTCCCCTCAGAAGTAAGTGTGTTACTTTAACTGTTTGGCTGTAGTAAGGTAGCAAGGTGACACTATCACTCAGATAATTCGAGCTAACGTCTCACTCTTTCAACAGTCTTCTCTGGCTGAGTGGCTGTGTCAGTCTCTGATAGCATGAATTAAAATATTCATCTGTTCTGTGAAGAGGGGTTTGAGCGAAAAAAAAAAGCAAAATTTTTTTTTTAATTCATCTTTTTTTTTTTCCTCATCAGTTCTTAATGATTCATCTATTTTTATTAAGAGTGAGTCACATAATTTATATCCCCAATTCTCTGGTCTCTTACATTTCCTGGGTTCCTCTTCAAAGTATACCTTCTAGAATTTAATGCCAGTGGGAAGTACTTGGTAATTCATAGGGAAAAAGGCATTTAATCCTCAAATTGGGGAGGGGGGTCAGTAAATTGTAGGCCACAGAGCAGCTGTTTTTGTAAAAAGTTTTATTGGAACATACCCACGTGCATTTATTTGCATATGATCTGGCTGCTTTCTAGCTATGGTGACAGAGTTGAGTAGTTGAGATAGACAATATATCCCACAAGCCTAAAATACTTACTATATCTGGCCCTTTAAGAAAAAGTTTGGTTTGTTGGCTCTGTATGCCATTCTTCTGCTCAAAAACCCTTGATGATTTACAGCACATATCCCTGAGTTTAACGTTCCAGGTTCTTCCTAATACGGTCGCTCTGTTTCCAGAATTATTTCCTAGTTGTCTTATTTTTCTCCAGCCATAGTAAATTAATTGTAGCATCTTTTCTATGTGCTCTCTGCATATATGAGCCCTCCTGTAGAGCCCAGTTCAGATACTGCCTTTCACAAAGCCTTACTGAATTATTCTAGTTGAAAACTTTTCTGAAGTTTTCATTACATGGCATTTCAGTTTGTTGCTTCTCTCCTTAAAACTACATGTTTGTTTTTCCCACTATTAAATTTGTTGTATTAAGACAGATGAGTTTTAAGGCATCTTCACATCTTCCCATGGTGCTTATACGTTGAACTTTAAGTATTTTTTGAATAAAATATATATAATTACTGGCACTCATGTATTGCTTTTCCAAGGTTTGTGGTGATTATTTACTATCCAGAATGGACGTTACCAGCTGCATCTCTTACCGAAATTTTGCAAGTTGTATGGGAGACTCCCGATTGTTGAATAAGGTTGATGCTTATATTCAGGAGCATTTATTACAAATTTCAGAAGAGGAGGAGTTTCTTAAGCTTCCAAGACTAAAGGTAAGGAGTAAAATCTGCATACAGATTTCTACTGTCTAGTTTAAATCTTTGTCCATGTTTCAAGCCAGTAATGGTTATGAAAACAATAATACATTGAGATTAGAGGGTAGTTGTTAGCACATAATGGGTTTCTACCTACCAATTTGTTTACTTTCTTGGTTTTTGGTTACTGGTTTCCTTACAAATTGGAGTAAATGTATGGAATGCAATTTGGCATCTTTGACAACTTCATTGCGAAATTGAGAATTAAGCTGAGAATTAGAAGCTTAACACTGATGTGTATTATTGGTTTTTTTCTCAATTCAGTTGGAGGTAATGCTTGAAGATAATGTTTGCTTACCCAGCAATGGCAAACTGTATACAAAGGTAATCAACTGGGTGCAGCGTAGCATCTGGGAAAACGGAGACAGTCTGGAAGAGCTGATGGAAGAGGTTAGTTTTAGAGTAAATGGGATGCAGCATTTCTTAAAAATTATTTTGCTATAACATGAAGGATTCCCTTTCACTTTTATTTTATAACCATGACCCTAAAGAATTTAAATTTTGCTATAGGTACCCCTAAGCTGAGAAACAGGGGGGGTGTCCAGGTGAGCTGAATGAACTGTTCAGTTTGGTCTTCTGCTTTTCTTTTTTTATTTCTTTGCTTATTATGTGCTGTTAACTTTCTTTAAAGTAGCATGTAATTTGCTGTAGAAATGGGAGGTGGTACTGAGATTTTCTGTAGATTCTTAATTTTTCTTCACAGGTTTTTGCTTTAAATTTGACAAGTAGGTAAAAGCTTCTAATGGTTGTTCCTCCCCATTGATTTATCTCCCCATAGGTTTATTAACAAAACTAGGATACCCAAGACTGAAGAAACAAGAAGAACTTCAAGTGTATTGACACGTAAAGAAGCAGCAGTCCTGCCCCAGTTCTCCTAAGAAAAATCCGCTGTGGGCAGAGAACGATGATGATTTAATGGTGTTTACTCCTTTACAGGATTCTCATCTTTAAAGCTTTGTGTTTTTCAATGGTGTTGTTCGTACATTTAGTCACTCACAGAATTTGAGCTATTTTTAAAAATACATAAGACAAAATCAATGGAGAAATGGTGGAAATTAAAACTATGCATGTGGAGCAGTAGTGTAACCTTGAGTTTATCACTCCACTTAAGCCTTTCAGAGTCTCTAAAGGCTTACCAAATCCCGTAGGCCTATAAAAACACTGTCACCCTTATGTTCTAAAAAGCCTAACAGATGATCTCTAAATTCCATATGATTTCCTACTTGAAAATCAGATGCAGGATTCCTGTAGGGTTGTTCAGCACTTTGGATTGTCAACCCGCGATGTTGGCCCAGCCTTTTCTGTATATCAAAGAGAGGCATGGCTCCTGATGCAGTGCCCTTGTCTGTTCTTAGCGGGCTGCAGATTGTTTACTGAAAACTTCTTTATTAAAGTGTGTAAAAATAAAGGATTGCTCCATCTTAAAAAAAAAAAAAGAAAAGAAAATCAGATGCATTAGCTATGCATTTGCATCTGTCAAGGGAGATATCTCTACAGCTTACCTGAATTTTTGCGTTTGTTCTCTTGTTAAGTTTTTCTTGACATTGCCTACAGGAGGGAGATATTTATGCAAATCAGAGCACTTAATCTTCAGAGGTATAAACTATGTTCAATTTCTACTGTAAATATGTATATTCTTTAAGAGTCTATATATTGTACTAGTGCCCTTTTCTCAGTGCTATATAATAGAAGCTGTGAAAAAAGTGAAGATTTCTTTCAAGCCAATCAAGCCACGGACTCTTCGGCCAGTAGTGGAAGATTTTGCATTTGATTTGGTTTTTGGTTTTTAAATTTTTACCACCATGACGTGTTTTTCTTTACTTCGGGATCCTGCCAGAGTAACATGTAAAGAAGCTCAAGAAGCACACTGGAGGTTACCTTGAGGCGTTTGTGTGATCTGCTTACTAGTGGAGTAGCCATGGTGACCGTAGCCACATGGGTGTTCTGTTGCTGTTTTGCAGGTTCAAACCTTGTACTACTCAGCTGATCACAAGCTGCTTGATGGGAACCTACTAGATGGACAGGCTGAGGTGTTTGGCAGTGATGATGACCACATTCAGTTTGTGCAGGTACACATTGCACAGTCTGAGGTAACCTCAGGTTAAAATTTGACTAGAGAATTTTACAGCATACTTAAATTTTCCTTTAATAAAGGAAAGTAAACCAATTTCAACACATTTTTGGGAGAAAGCAAGCTTACGTTAGAGTTACTAGTATTTTTCCCCATGAAAACAAATTAACAAATTAGTAAGCCTATATAGATTTTCTTTTTCTAAGTAAGTAGGATTTACAAGTAGTAAGAAAAAATGTCAGGAAGATGAAACAATGAGGAAATGACGTTATTGTAGTAAGATTGTGAAAATAGTAGTTGTCTGCAACAGGCATGACTAATAGACCCATTTTTTTTTTTTTTAAGGGCAAGGGAACTTAAATTATTGGTGGCTATGAAAGAAATTTTGGGTATTTCTTTAATCACTGGTCTTTCTTATTTCAAATTAGAAATTGTATCATTAAGATGGACTATATACAATGTAATAAATTTTAAAGTAGTTGATAATATGTTAGAACCTGATCTAGATATTTCTTGAACAAAATGAATTAAAACATGAGTTCCATTGCACCAGTTGAGTTACCTTGCCTTTTATGAAATCCAATTTAACTTTTTCCCCTACCTTTAGTAGGGTAAATATACATATTCAGACACATTACCAACAATTTATATAGAACAAACATCTCAGGTATAAACTTATTTAGTTTATGGACAAATACAGAAACATTTGAATGTTACATATAAATCATAAGAACATAGAACCCAGGTCAAGAAGAGATTTCTAATATCCTGGTAGATTTCCTTGTGCCCTTTCCAGTCACTGCCCTACACTAGCCCCAAAGAAACCTTCCATCCTTCTGACAAAGTCAATAAATTTGCCTGTGTTTGACAAATTTATATAAATAGTCATATAGTATTTGGCTTTTAACTCAGTATTATATTTGTAAGATATAAGCTATAAAGTAGTCAGAGTCAACCCAGATTAAGGGGTATTTTCCCTTAAAAATTAGAAGGTAAATGGTAGACTCTGTCATTGGCTATTTAGTTATGTTATCAGGGCAAAGGTTGAGTACCTAAGTTGCAGTCCGTAATGTTCAGTGTGGGGTCACCAATGTGTGAGAGACAGTTTCAGCTTATATAAGACAGTTTTTCTTGTAAGCATCTTAGAAATAATACAGACTTTTAAGAGTTATCTACAAAAGGCCTAAAAAGGAGGGCATAGTGGAGATGAAAGAAACCAAGAATATTTCATAGAGGAGGAAACTTTTGAACAGTCTCAAGATTTGGAGGCCTTTGTTTGGTACAAAGAGGGAGATAGCAGAGAATATCTGCAAGAATGATATTCTTGGAAAAGCAGGTCATAAGACTGGAAAATTAAGGAAATGCAACCTGAATGAGGCTCCTACTTTAGCCTATAGACAGTGGGAAGCCTTTACACAATTTTTTTTTTTACTGTGATAAAAGTAGAATGATATGAACAGATAGATTCTACAACTTTAGTAATAGTGGAAAACTGGGAAACAGTGTAACTATTAGAGTTCTAATTCCAACAGTCTCTGGATTAGGAAGCCCAACTAATTTGTGATTTATTTATTTATTTTCAAAATTTTTAGTAGACTATAACCATGTTGTAAAAGCTACTTTGGAAGTAAAAGAAAGTTTGAAGAAAACTTAAATCCTCTGGGAGAAGGGATAATTTCTATACTGCTTCTATTAGGCGTGCTACCTTCAGAGTTATAGAGCCTTTCTCTTCCACATTTTTCTCTCAATTTTAATTTGTACATGTATTACCACAGCTTTCTTACTGTAGTACAATCTCAATGTAAGCTCTGTCCATTTGTGATACTTTGGACCCCTTCGTTCCACAGAATGGGATAGGGTTTCATATACCTTGTTATACCTAGTAGCAGATAAGGTTAGGTATCTCTTATTTTTTATTCCTAGTATTTTTACACTGTGACAATTGTATCATAGTATAAAAAGAGTGGAGTTTATTCAGAATTCCTAATCTCTAAAGAAAATATTTTGTTTGTATATATTTACGGAATACAATTTTGCTACATTGGTATATTGCATTGTGGTCAAGTCAGGCCCTTCAGTGCATCCATCACTGTAACAACACACATCGTACCCCAAGCAGCTCCCCATCATCTCTCCCCAACTCTCCATGGTCCATCATCCCACACTCTGATTCCATGTGTACATGTTATTTAGCTACCACTTGTAAGAACACGTGGTATTGTCTTTCTGTGTCTGAGTTATTTCACTTAGATATTGGCCTCTACTTCCATCCATGTTGCTGCAAAAGACACAATGTATTCTTTTTTTTTTTTTTTTGACACGATGTATTCTTTTTGTGGGTGAATAGCATTCCCTTGTGTATATATACCACATTTTCTTTTCCAATCCTCTGCTGATGGACGCTTATGCTGATTCTACACCTTTGATATTGTGCATAATACTGTGATAAACCTGAGAATGGCATCATTTTTATAGACTGACTTCTTTTTCTTGGGGTAGATCCCTATTAGTGGGATTGCTGGATCATACAGTAGTTCTATTTTTAGTTCTTTGAGAACTCTGTTTTCCATAGAGGTTGCACTAATTTACATTTCTACTAACAGAATATAAACATTTCCTGTTCTCTGCATCCTTGCCAGTATCTTGTTTTTTGTTTTGTCTTTTAAAAGAATATTTTAGCTGTATTGCCCCAGGCAGTGCATATCTTCTGAGTTTTAATATTTTTATCTATAAAATAGGTAGATAATAACACCACTGGATTAAAAGAGATGATGTGAATAAAGTACCTAATATACTTAAGTACATAATAAATACCTAAATAGAATTTAATGATCATCATTGACATAATACATTCCCTGCTTTTTCTCAAAATAGCCTGCCTGTACACATATATCCTATGACCACACTGGCTGAATGGCCCAGCCCGGCGTAGGGAACCTGTGGCCTCCACCGAGATCCCTAAGTACAGTCCCTCAACTGAATCTAGAACAATAAAGAACAAGTCCCTTTATTAAAAGGATTTGTTCTGTAAAATTTGGGTTCAAAAGGCTAAAGACCTACCTAACCTTTGGTATTTTTTTTTAATAGCTTCAAGTAACTACCATAATCTTTTTTTTCCTCTGTTACTTATATGGCTTTTTGCTTCCATTAGCAACAGAAATTTCCAGTAGTAGAAATCTTACCTATCCATGTGGTCTGGCCCTGTAGAACAGAGTAAGTGGATGAGTGTACTAGGCCAGGTACTAAAGGTGGTATCTGTTCATTTGGCAGTTCTCAAAGTAGTCTTGACTTCCTGGTTCTATATGTCCTTGGGATATATAGCCCTTTAGCTTAAGGCTAAAGTTATTGGAAGAAGGCTATCAAAGAAAACATACACAAAAGAACGCATGTATGTGATTCTCTCATGTATGTGTTTGAAAATGGACAGCTTTGTTCGTTTCTCTCTTAGCGTTCTATATATTCCACTTTTGGAAATATTTGGTTCTTTTAGTAATGGCCCATTTCTGATTGTTGTTATTTTTGTGATTTGATGTAGTTTTGTCTGGAAATACTTATAAGGTAGCCCTAGAGTATTACCTTTTAAATGTTTCTTTAATCACTACTTTTTCCTGTAAAGTACTTTGAGAGTGACTCGATGACTGTTCAGTGATTTAGTTACGTTTGACACTTTCGTGTTGACAGTGGGTTTAAAATGTATTCTCTGTTAATTCATGCCATTTTAAAATTTTAACATCTTTTGGAAGATTCTATACTTAATGTAAGAATTTGTGAGCTTATGTGGATTATAGGGTTTTTCTTTTTCATTTGTCTATTGAGATACTTGATTTGCACCATGAGTTTTGAATTATTTAAATTGAGCTTTCTCTCTGACCTGGCTTTCTTTCTTACTTTTTTTTTTTTTTAAAGAGACAGACTTTCAGTTTGTCGCCCTCCGTAGAGGGCTGTGGCATCACAGCTCACAGCAACCTCCAACTCCTGGGCTTAGGTGATTCTCTTGTCTCAGCCTCCCAAGTAGCTGGGACTACAGGCACCCACCACAACACCCTGCTATTTTTTCTTGCAGTTTGGCCGGGGCCAGGTTCGAACCTGCTACCCTCAGTATATGGGGCCAGCGCCCTACTCAGTGAGCCACAGGGCCGCCCTGACCTGGCTTTCTGTACGGGTGTAGTTGTTTAATTATTAAGTGGAGATGGAATTATGTCAGTAATTCTGTCAGTTGGAAAGTGCTGGTTTGTGTTAAATGTGGTGGTCTATAAACATCACAAATAAATGAAGGATATTCAGTGTTTTTGCACCGAGTGTTGAAAGATACTTAGTGCTGTGGAAAAGCTCAGGAACAAAAAGGTACAGCAGGTGTGGTCTTTGGCTAGGTTTCTGTAGCTACCTTTTGATTTTGCAGAAAAAGCCACCACGTGAGAATGGCCATAAGCAGATAAGTAGCAGTTCTACTGGATGTCTCTCTTCTCCAAATGCTACAGTACAGAGTCCTAAGCATGAGTGGAAAATCGTTGCTTCAGAAAAGACTTCAAGTAAGTATATCTATTTTTTTAAAAATTTTTATTTATTATATATATATTTTTGAGACAGAGTCTCACTATGTTCCCCTCGGTAGAGTGCCATGGCATCACACAGCTCACAGAAACCTCAAGCTCTTGGGCTTAAGCAAGCAATTCTCATGCCTCAGCCTCCCAAGTAGCTGGGGCTATGGGTGCCTGCTGCACTGCCTGGCTGTTTTTTGTTACAGCTATTGTTTTAGCTGGCCTGGGCTGGGTTCAAACCCACCAATCTTGGTGTATGTGGCTGGCGCCGTAACACTGTGCTATGGGCACTGAGCCATATTGTCTATTTTTAGAAAAGAATGTTGTCAATTTAATACTTTTAAATTCACTATTTGTGGAAAAATCTTGGAAGCAGTTAAACTTAGAAAATAATAGCAGATTGTTCCAGTATGGCATCTGGAGACTGAAGTCCAGGTCAGCAACCAGAAGTGATGAGAATTACATCTTAAACATGGAACTCTTCTGCTTACAGATAACACTTACTTGTGCCTGGCTGTGCTGGATGGCATATTCTGTGTAATTTTCCTTCATGGGCGAAATAGCCCACAGAGCTCACCAACAAATACTCCAAAACTAAGTAAGAGCTTAAGCTTTGAGATGCAACCAGATGACCTAGTAGAAAAGCCCATGTCACCTATGCAATATGCACGATCTGGTCTGGGAACAGCAGAAATGAATGGCAAACTCATAGCTGCAGGTAAGAACAGAAGGATGAGTGATTTATCGGAAGCATTCAGTTGGCTAAACTTGTAAATGGGTATTTATTTACACTGCGTTTTACATGCAGACTTTGGAAGATAGTTTAATGTGCTTTTATTCTATGGTATTCCAAGAAGACAAGGAAATAACACAACTGAATATGTCTAACCTTCAAGTTCATCTCTTCCACTTTATAAAAAAGAAAAGATAAAGTGGGTACATTTTTCTCTTAATTTTCAAGCCAGGATTAAGTAGTGTACTCACACCAGTAATGTTATTTTTCCAGCTGTTATTAAGCACTTAGTTAAAACATCACCTAATGGATCCTTGAAAAGTTTTAGTGCTTTGTGTTCCATTTTAATATTTTAAACATAAATCTGTGGTTCTTTTACTAGGTGGCTATAACAGAGAGGAATGTCTTCGAACAGTTGAATGCTATGATCCACATACTGATCATTGGTCCTTTATTGCTCCTATGCGAACACCAAGAGCCCGATTTCAAATGGCTGTACTGATGGTAAGCACATTATGTTGCAGAAGTAACCTGTATTTAGCTTTTTTCTCACAACTTCAGAATGGTGGAAATGCTCATCTCTCACTTTGGCATAGGGCCAGCTCTATGTGGTAGGGGGATCAAATGGACATTCAGATGACCTGAGTTGTGGAGAGATGTACGATCCAAACATAGATGACTGGATTCCTATTCCAGAATTGAGAACTAACCGTTGTAATGCAGGTAATATACTTTTATTCTGACATAGCCAGTATTTTAATGTGATAATTAAATTATCAATATATAACTGTATTTAAAATTTTATATGCAGGAGTGTGTGCTCTGAATGGAAAATTATACATCGTTGGTGGCTCTGATCCATATGGACAAAAAGGACTAAAAAATTGTGATGTATTTGATCCTGTAACAAAGTCATGGACAAGCTGTGCTCCTCTTAACATTCGTAAGTTAATTTTTTTTTCCTTAAAGTTGGGTTTTCTAAAGACTTGTGAATCAACAGTGTTTGTAATACTTAAAGTTTTGGGAAATATGGTGATAATCTTGGTTTGACTTGATTTTGCTTTTTTTTAACAGGTAGACACCAGTCTGCAGTCTGTGAGCTTGATGGTTATCTGTACATAATTGGAGGTGCAGAGTCTTGGAACTGTCTGAACACAGTAGAACGTTACAACCCTGAAAATAACACCTGGACTCTAATTGCGCCCATGAACGTGGCCAGGCGGGGAGCTGGTGTAGCTGTTCTTGATGGTGAGTTAGGATTTGGAGAGAGGACAATAGTGAAGAATCTGCTCTAAAATCCTACGAAAGTTTCAGTGACAGCCGTACAGTTGTGCAATTAAGAATTCAGAAGCAGCCATCTCTTTTGATGCAGTAGGGATTGGTGGTTTGTGCTTTAGAAATATCTTTTCTCATCAGAGACTCATAATACTTGCTACGTAACATTTTTTGTTGCCCTATCATCTAATGACATCACATTGATAAATAATATAAATACATTGGTTCACCAGTCTCTTGATGGGAACACTTTGTGCAGTTCCAAGTCATTTTCTTCCGTAAACCATACTCATAATGCATCATCTTGGATTTTGAGTTTTTCTTTTTTTTTGTAGCTGGGACTACAGGTGCCTAGCTAATTTTTCTATTTTTAGTAGTGAAGGGGTCTTGTTCTTGTTCTGGCTGGTCTCAAATTCCTGATCCTGCTACCTCAGCCTCCCAGAGTGCTAGGATTAGAGGCCTAGCCCACCCTGCTATATCTCCTTTTCTTCTTCTTTTTTTTATTTTGAGATGAGAGTCTCTCTTTCTTTTTTTTTTTTTTTGGCCAGGGCTAGGTTTGAACCCACCACCTCTGGCATATGGGGCTAGCACCCTACTCCTTGAGCCACAGGTGCTGCCCAAGTCTCAATTTCTTGCTTGCAGTAGAGACAGTCTTATTTTTTTGCTTGTAGTAGAGTGCTATGGTATCGTAGTTCACAGCAGCCTCAAATTCTTGGGATCAAATGATCCTCTTGTCTCAGCCTCCCAAGTAGCTGGGAGTATAGACGCCCGCCACAACACCCAGTGATATTTTAGAGATGAGGTCTCTCTTGTTCAAGCTGGTCTTGAACTTGTGAGCTCTAGTGATCCACCTGCCTTGGTCTCCCGGAGTGCTTGCTGGGATTACAGGCATGAGCCACCAATGCCCAGCCTCCAGTTTCCCTTTCTTTAGAGCAAGAATTCAAGAATTTGATTTATAGAACAAAGCAAATGCAAATCCCTTTTTTAAAATTTTTCCCTTTTCTTTCTTTTTTTTTCCCTGACCACTAGACAACTGGGGCAAATCCCTAGTCTTTTCCAGTTGTCTATAGTATACCATACCTAATTAGAAATAATACCTGTAATACTATTTTAACAAGTCCTTCCAAAGCACTAAGCCTTGTTTTATGAAGACACAGCTTTCTTTTCACATCCATTTTATTGACTGACTTAATACCTTAATTATATAATTATAATTAAAAAGTTAGCATTGTTTTGGGAACCAATCTTAGTGGGCTTTGGCTCAAGTAGTAAAAGTTTTAAGTGTAGACATAGTAGCAAGTAGCTACTATGGCCTGGAGCTGGCAGCTTTTTGTGAACCTTGTCAAGTGTGTTTTACAGATACATGGACACAAATGGGTTAAGTGATGGTGAGAAAATAATGAATTTCAGAATACTTTCTGATTTGCGCATAATTTATTTACTGTTTTCCATGTTTGTTTCTGAAAGAAATTTCTGTACAGAATCATTTTATGTAGTTGAAAAGCTCTCAGTTTTCTGTTTTCTGAAGTCTGCTTTCCTGTAACTTTGTGAGCCTTAGTTTTGTACACTGTGCTAACATAGAAAGTCCAGTGCACAGAACTATTTTGGTTTGCCATTGAGTGGTTGTATCTTTATGCAAGTTGTCTGATTTGTTCTTGTTTATTCATCTGTGAAATGTACTTTAAGTGTTGCTTTCATTCTCTCCCCATTTTAAGTTGCCTAGTTTCATGCGGGAGTTTTTATTGATTTGATCAACTTTGTTTCCACAGCTTCTAGAGGGAACTTGCCACATTGGTAGGCATTAAATACTTTTGATGGAATAGTCACTTGTTAAAAACCACTTTTTTTAAGCAAAAGACAGATTTAGGGTTTCTTTCTGTTATTGTACTTTATCCTCTTTAGATTTACTCTGTCTCATTTCTCTTTTAGGAAAACTGTTTGTAGGTGGTGGCTTTGATGGTTCGCATGCTATCAGTTGTGTGGAGATGTATGATCCAACTAGAAATGAATGGAAGATGATGGGAAATATGACTTCACCAAGGAGCAATGCTGGGATTACAACCGTAGGGAATACCATTTATGCAGTGGGAGGATTTGATGGCAATGAATTTCTTAATACGGTGGAAGTCTATAACCTAGAGTCAAATGAGTGGAGCCCCTATACAAAGATTTTCCAGTTTTAACAAATTTAAGACCCTCTCAAACTAACAGGCTTAGTGATGTAATTGTGTTTAGTAGAGGTACATTTGTGAATAAGGAGGGTGGGTGGGTATAGATGTTGCTAACAGCAACACAAAGCTTTTGCATATTGCATATTATTAAACATGCTGTATATACTTCTTGTGTTTATTTGGAAAGGAATGCAAAGATGAAGGTCTGTTTGTGTATTTTTAAGACTTCTTTGGTTATTTTACTGTCTGGAAGTTGGTATTATAAAAGAATAAACCAAGAATTGATTTAGCACATCATTTCAAGAAGTCCCCTCTCCACAATTGTTTTGCCAATTTGCACTTTTCCCTCAAATATGTATTAAGGAGAAAGAGGGGTAGGGTTTAAACATGTAGGCGGTTGGGTTTTTTTAAGGGCCCTTTTTCAGTAACTGGAACACTGTATAACAAAGGATACTTATTTAAATAGAGGACAATGACTATTTTTGTTTTTATTAAGAGAGCCAACTTGCCTACCAATATTTAATCTTTTATGATTGCCTTTTTATAACTTTTTATATTCTCAGCAAAGTGCTTTACCTATTAAGTGAAATGTGGCAGACTGAAGTACAGTGGCAACCTTAAAGTATACAAGGTAGCGTGTTTACTTTAAATGCCCAGAATATAAACTTTACATTTTTGCCGCAACTATTTTTTTTTTTTTTGAGAATGCATTACATTTGAATGGGTTGCTGAAAGTAAAATTGCTGTGATTTTTAGTATTTGAAACACTGGTTTAAATATTTTGACTTGTTGAAGGTACATTTCATATAGCAAGACATTTAATGTATAGTAGTATAGAACAGTAAAGTACTTTATCTGCTAAATAATTCTTATTTTTATTTATCATTAACAAAACAATCCTTAAATGGCAATCCTCAATTGTGAAGAAAAAATACAGGATTTGAGAATGCAGCCTTTATCAGAATTATATTTTTGTTCAGCTTTTCTATTCATATAGATAAATACTGGTGGGAATGACTTGGTGTCTGAGGTGTAGTGTTACACACCTAACTCACGGTGCCAAAATCAGCACATCCTCATGCTTCTGCTGATGCAAACACGTTAAAGGTACTTGGCAGGAAATCCTTGCATCATGAAATTAATGTCCAAATGCTGTTTGTGTACTCATTCATTGCTAAAAGTTTTGGGGGAAACTTTGATGAGCTTATAAGGAATGATGTAAGGTTTTTCTCACAGAAGATGAAGTACACAGGAATCTGATTGGCCAGTTGAAGTGAGATGACTACTATTCAGTGACTAACTTGGGTTAGGAAGAAAATTAGGTATTTTCTCTAAATGTTCACTGGTACTTTGCCACCTTATTTCTCATCTGTTCCACAAAGAATTACCAAGAAAAGAAATCAGTTCACTTGATAACTATGTAGCTCCTGACTAACTCTAACTGGCTTGGTTCTGGACAAAAAACTAGATCGACAGATACGAATTTGCCTAATATGATGACTGTTTTTAATATGGATGTTTACATGTTCTATTCAGCACAAGGAAATAAAGTTTTAGTTGAGGATTCAGCACTAAAATCCTTGGAACTCACTTCTCATTTCATAAGTGACATAATTAATACCAATAATATGTGGGAATACTTGGGGTTAAAGTTTTCCTGCACTAGTCTGGAAGCCAAACAGGTAGTTTGGTAGCTAAAAGTAATTTTTTAAGAAGCCATGATAGCCAGTCTTCATGAAAGTAAGTTTCCATAAAGGGAAAACACCATGCTCAGTGACCACTTGTTACCGTGTATCCAAACCTAAAAGGCACACCTTTTCTTCAGGAAAGTAAAGTATGTAGCATGGCTTTAGCATAATTTTTAAAAATTGTTTTTATTTACCAGAGTGAGTTTGGGGTTTTTGTTTGTTTGGGTTTTGTTTCTAAGACAGTCTCACTGCATGGTCCACACTAGAGTGCTATGGTGTCAGCCTAGCTCACAGCAACCTCAAATTCTTGGGTTCAAGTGATCCTCCTGCCTCAGCCTCCCAAGCAGCTGAAACTGTAAGCCCCCGCCACAACACCTGGCTAATTTTCCTATTTTTAGTAGAGACAGGGTCTCTCTCAGGCTGGTCTCCAACTCTTGAGCTCAAGAGATCCTCTCACCTCTGCCTCCCAGAGAGGTAGGTGTGAGCCACCATGCCCAGCCCAGAATGAGTTTTGGAATAGTTTAGAAATACTATTGGTAACAATGAACCTGCAGTCAGTCTTAGTAGTGTCTGAACCAGGCTCTGAGGTTCACATCTCTAGTCCCAGCTACTTGGGAGGCTGAGGAGGCAGGAAGATGGCTTGAGCGCAGGCATTCCAGGCTGTACTGAGCTATGATTGGATCACTGTACTCCAAAGCCTGAGTGACAGAATGAGACTCTGCCTCTTAAAAAAAAAAAAAAAAATTGCACAAAACACATACTATGTTTCCTAAAATAGTAGCAGAACTAGAAAGTATCTGGTTTTTGAACCAAATACTGGTTACACTGTTCATGGATTTGATTCAGAACTTCAACTTAGGGATTTTTGGCTTCTTTACCTTTGCTCAAAATGCTTTGGAATTTTCTAAATAATGATCATGTTTTAGGGGAAAACATGGATTTGGTTATGTTACAGTGCTAGAATCCTTGCTTAATTAACAAATTATAAATTAAGATTTGTGTGGCCTATAATCTCTCCTGAGCTCAGGATTCCTAAAATTGAAATAGGTAAAGGAGAACAAATCCCAGTAGGACAGACAATTCTATGAAGAGTCCCTTTTAGAACTAGTCACAGAAAACTCAGTTTCTAATATGGTAATGTGTTTCCTAGTTTGTTTCAAAACTGTGAAGAGTCAGTACTGAGTGAGACATAAACATACAAGGTAAATTAGGTGAAAAGGAAAAAGAAAAGTACCAATATATGCATCTTAAATAAACTCTTGGTAAGACCAAGCCAGAACTTTAGTCCTGTATGTAGGTCTTCTTAAGTTAAATCAGTGTCTAGGTTAAAAAGGGATAACGGCTGTGAAATGCAAATAATTCTTTATAATAAAATCAGAATTTCGTCGAGTCTGAAAATGATACATTGAACAACTAAAACCAGAATTTCGTCGTGTCTTAAAATGATAGATTGAACTAAGGTTGATAAAGAGAAGATAAACATACTCAGGTGAATGTCACAAGTTCTTCAGCTAGCACACTGGCCAGTAAAATACTGAATTTTTACCATTAATAGCTCTGTACCTTACTGGGGATTTAAAAAGAGAAGCACCACAGTGGGGACAGGCTGAGGATGTTGGGTTGGTATCTTTCAGAAGCAAGACTCTAAAAGGGGCATATGTCTGAATAGATGACTACATATTTACTCAGAGTAAGCAGAAAGAGTAACAGTTTTAGCCTGGAAAAAAATACACACTCAGAACTCTTGGAGCAATGAAATTTTTGAGATGAACTGAGATGTTCAGCAGAGTAAGAGCAGCCATGAGTTGCCATGTTTGTTAAAAGTTGGAAGGTATCTACCAAATGTAGTTGTCCAATTAACAGGGTCAGCTATCCAAATTATTCCCAAATCCTAACTATCTTACCTTCTGTATTAAAGTGTTTTATTCCCTTGTAAACCAGAAGTGGTACAGGCTTGAAAAGATACCTGATGAAGGATTTGTATCCAGAATTGTCAAATCTCAATAAAACATTTTTGAATGGATAAGATAATTTGAACAAGACCCTTTACCTTTAAAAGTAAGTGGGGCCGAGCACGGTGGCTCACTCCTGTAATCCCACCACTCTGGGAGACGAAGGTGGGCGAATTGCCTGAGCTCGCTAGTTCAAGACCAGCCTGAGAAAAATAGCCAGGGTTGTGGTAGGCGCCTGTAATCCCAGCTACTTGGGAGGCTGAAGCAAGAGAATCACTTAACCCAGTGAACTATGATGCTATGGTACTCTACCAGGGGTGACAAAGTGAGACTGTCTCAAAAAAGAAAAAGGTAAGCGGATGGCAATAAGAACATGGAAAGATGCCATCATAAATCATTAGGAAGATCTAAATCAGTGGTTCTCAGCCTTCCTAATGCCGCAGCCCTTTAATACATACAGTTCCTGTGGGTCACCACCCACAGGTTCAGAACTGCTGATCTAAATGAAAACCAAAATGACATGTACCTATTAAAGCCAAATATACCAAATTCTGGTTAGGATGTAGAGCAAATGGAACTCAAACTGTTGGAGAAACTGCAAAGGTGTACAGGCACTGTGAAACAACAGTTTGGCCATTTCTGATACCCTGTAACAAAGCAATCCCACTCATAGGTATTTACCCAAGCAACATGGAAATTGTTCACATAAACTTGTATGTGATATAGCAGCTTGACTCATATAATCACCAGAAACAACAGAGTAGCCTTCCAACTAGTAAATTAATAAATTGGTACATCCATGCAATGCTATACTATTTGGGAATAAAAAGAATGAACTGCTGAGGAACAATATGGATAAACCTAAGGCAGCATGTTAAATGGGAAACCAGATTCAAGTTTCAGTTTAGCAAGTCAGTTACTTAAGAGATTGAGGCAGGAGAATCTCTGAGACCAGGAGTTAAAAGGTTTGTAGTGCCTGTGAATAGCCACTGGACTCCAGCCTGGACAACACTGTGAGGCCCCATCTCTCAAAGTAAAAAAGTCTCCATTAATATAAAGCATTCTGGAAAAGGTAAAAATACAAGGTTAGCAAACATTTCATTGGCCTCCTGAGGTGGGGATGAGAGTTTACAAGGGGATAGGAGGGAATTTTTAGGGGTGATGTGACTCAACATTGCTAGTGATTACACAATTACATATTTGATAAAGCTCAGAACTCTACACTTAAGGGAAAAAAATTGTCTTAACTGAAAGTGGTCCTTAATCTTTACAAGAGAAGGTTTAAAGGAAGGTTAGAACAGGTCCATATTTTATCCCAAGAGAAATCACATCAGGAAACCACTCCCACTGACCTTGCAAGGGTCTATGTAGTTGAGCCCACAACCATTAGTCTACAACAGAATTGCAAGACAGACTGAGAAAAGATTAGAATGTTACAATTAATTTATAGTGAAGAACCCTGAACCAAGCTGATAGCTGAGACCTGGGTGTCCACACCTCACCTTCCAGATTTAAATGGTAATTCTGCTCAACAATCTGTCTTCATTGTTTACAGCATCCAGAATTGAGGCAAATCACATCCTGTTCATAATCAGAACTAAATCATAATTTAAAAACTCCATATGGGCCAAAGAATGTGTTCAAACTCTTCTGGAGAGCCAAATGTTTTCACCAACAGCCAAAGACATTAAAGAGTAAAAGTCACAAATATAGAGAGATGGCTATTCTATAATGCAGTCATATATAGTAAAACCCACAGGCAAGACAACACTGAGGTACTCTCGTTCCAGAAGAATCTGTTTTTGGGCTCGGCGCCTAAAGTGCCAACCACATACCAGAGCTGGCAGGTTCAAATCCAGCCCAGGTCTGCCAAACAATGACAACTACAACCAAAAAACAAACAAAATAGCCGGGCATTGTGGTGGGTACCTGTAGTCCCAGCTACTTGGGAGGCTGAGGCAAGAGAATCATTTGAGCCCAGGAGCTGGAGGTTGCTGTAAGCTGTGATGCCACAGCACTCTACCCAGGGCAACAGCTTGAGGCTATGTCTCAAAAAAGAAAAAAAAAAAAAAAAGAATCTGTTTTTGTTGGGGTGGGAAGGCACTCCAAAATGATTTAAAAATGATTTATCAGTCTGAATACTGAGTGAATTTCCACTGACAGTGCCCACATAGGTAAGCAAAGGTAGAGTATGTCTTTTCTGTTTTTTTTTTTTTTGTTTTTTTTTTTAGCAGGAGAGCCTTTAGGACAATTCGTCAAAATACTAACTGACCCAACTATGAGTTGGACACTAGAGAGAGTGTAGTTCCTCCCTTCAAGGAGGTCCTGCCTTCACTGGGGGTCTGGCAAAATAGCCAGAAGTATCAAATAGGACTGGCCTGTCTAATCTCTAAATCAGAAAAGGGGCATGGGCAGTATCACATCCCAAGAGTGGAAGTTGCATATGATTATTCAGTAGGGACGAATATTCCTTTTGAGGAATGAGATAAATTCATCCCAACCCATCATGCCAGGGAGCTAGGGAGTCGCCCTAAATTAGGAATGTAAACATGACTTGGGCTTGGAAAGGTCCTCAAGACCCCACTTAAATAAACCTAGATGGACCCTGGAAGGAACTCTAATTCATTTTAAGGAATTCTCCCTTAAAATGATGCTTGAAATACCAAGCAATAGAATTTCAGATCTTTCATATGACAGGCAAAGACCCATAATGTGAGAGTGAAATTAACCCATCTGTGAAGTTCTAATCTGTATAGTCGTAATTGCCCACTACAGGTCCTAACAAAGAAACCCATGGGGCACAAGAGACCTCAATTCTTTAGCCAGCTTTTCCTTGCCCCCTAATGTGGGAAGAGCTAGAGACTCTCCACACCAGTGGATACTCCCTGGTCCTCCCAGGAGGGAAATGGACTACTATGTTTTGGAAATAAGTTGGAGAAGGCTAAGAATGTAAGGAAACTCTCACCCCCTACAGTGGACGATTAGGAAAACAAGTATAAAAGATCAGAAAAGAAGACAAAAAGGGAAAAGGAAAAGAAGCTCTGACATTTCAAGTGCAAGAAATAGAGGCTGCTAATATAAAAACGTTTAAATAATGTTTTAAACCAAAAAGAGTAGAAAGAAAAGAACATCTGCATGTCTCAATAAAAATTTTTACAATTTTATAAGCTTCAAGTAAAATACTGTACACACTAAGATACAATTAAAACGCACATTTAGGAAAGAATAAAATATGTGAACTGCAAGTGATAGAAATAAATTGTACAAAAATTAGAAAATAATAAAAGGAGGCAGAGGTAAGCAAACTGGAGCAGAGCAAAACAAAAACCCAACCACAACTCGAAGTTGAGGTATAAAGAACTGAAAGAAAGCCTTTGTCCGTGGTCATGGTGGTGGTTGTGGTACAGGTTATGAATGCATTGTTGGCTCCTGAGGTTATGAATGCATTGTTGGCTCCTGAGGGAAGGAAAGGAAAGAAGCAAGCCGTAGATGCTCTTGAGGCTTCTCTGTTTACCCGGAGGCTCGCATCTCCGAGGGCACTTTTAAGCCCCACCCACGCAGTCAGTGACATAGTTTCTAGTCTGGCAAACAAAGTGTCACAGGTCCTGTACCAACTACAGTTCCTAGTGAACATCCTAACAAGGTCTCTTTTATTGGTGAAGGTGATATTTATAATCATACCTTATATGCACTTTAGAAACATCATTTGGAAGTAAAATGAAAAGCAAAATCTTAATTAAAAGTTGTTTATTGCTTTAAAAAGAACATAATAGAGTACCAAATTGGATTTACTCTTATGTATTAACAAAAGCATATTACATGCCAGTAAACAAGGATCTCCAACTTACTGGGCAGCTAAGAAATAAGTCAATTCAACTCTTGGTTTTAGCCAGTGGCAGGCGTTATTCATCTGCCACCTAACTCCATAAATCCATGTTGGTCACATTTAAAGAGAAATTAGGCAAAGGGGTCATCCTGCTCTTTCCCATTAAAAATACACCGAAAAGTGCCAAGCCCAGAGAAAAAGAGAAGAGGCTGTATGGGAAGTGGTAGCTAAAGTAAAATTCTTTCCTTATCTCAAAGGAGGTGATGATGGGGAGCATTATTTTCTCCAGTTCTACATAGATGAGTTTGATCATAAAACAGTAAGATTTCATTTATGAAATGTGAGCATAGTCATGTCCTAATTCTTTTTTACAGTTTTTCAATGTCTCTGGTCACAAATCCATGTTTAGGGTTGAAAGAAATGCTGGGTACTATGCCCTGGGTCTTCCTCAGAGGCCACAGTGGCTCCTGCCCTAGGAAGAAAGAAAAAAAAAAATAATAGCTCTCCTTTCCTTAGAGATCCTGGCTCAGTATCAGGAGTGGGGGAGGGAAGTACTGTCAACTCCAGAAGAGGTGAGTCCACAGTTTATTGCACAACGGATGCATCAGCTTTTTAGCTTCATTTAGATTGTCGGTAATCGGCCATCCTCCTTTTTGTACTTATGAAACATTTCTTACAGTTCTCTTAAGTTTGCCTCAAAAAAGAGACCAGGTTGAAAGTTAGTCTGTTCTTCTTGAAGACAATTCCGTTTACGTTACAAATCAGCACTATGTCCTGTAGTTGAGCGTGTCTTCACACCATCCCCTCTTTTTGGCCTCCATATAGACAGAGGCGTTGCACTGCTGCATGGTATAGTCCATCTCAACCAGCTGGCAGCATCCAATGGTTAACTTTTCCCTAAGAGAAAAGAAATGTTCAATCTCCACAAGACAGCTGGACAGATAAAAATTCTTTCTTTTGTTCTGCATTCCTTAACTGACAAATAGAAACTGCATATACTTACTGTATACAACATGTTTTGAACTATGTATAAATTGTGGAATAGCTCAATTGAGCTAATTGGTGAGAACTCTTAAAGTCTACTTAGTGATTTTCCAAATGTAACACATTGCTGTTAACTAAGGTTGCCATGTTGTACAATAGATCTCTTGAACTTATTTTTCGTATTTAAAAGAAATTTTATGTCCTTTGATTAACATCTCTCTGAGTCCCCTCAAGCCTTTAGGCCTTGGTGACTACCATTCTATTCTCTTACAAGCATTCGATTTTTTTTTTGTTTTAGAGTCTCATTTGTTGTCCTGGGTAGAGTGCAGTAGCATCACAGCTCACAACAACCTCAAACTCTTGGGCTTAAGTGATTTTCTTGCCTCAGCCTCCCAAGTAGCTGCAACTACATGTGCCCAGCACAACGCCCAGTGAGATTTTAGAGATGGGGTCTCCTCTTGGTGAGGCTGGTCTGGAACTAGCATTACAGGTGTGAGCCACTACGCCCAGCCCTGCATTCAACTTTTTTAGAGTCCACATATAAGTGAGATCATGTGATACTTGTCTTTCTGTGCCTGGGTTTTTTCACTTAACATGCTATCTTCTAAGTTCATCTGTGTGGTCCCAAATGACAGGATTTCCTTTTTTAAGGGGGAACAGTATTCCATTGTGTATATGTACCACATTTTCTTATCCATTCATCTGCTGATGGACATTTAGGTTATTTCCAAATCTTGGCTATTGTGAATAATGCTGCAATGAACACAAGAGTACAGATCTCTTTGACACACTATTTTCATTTTTTGTATATATTACAAATTCTCGACAAAATGGGATAATGCTGGGATTTGAAATACATTCTTTAATATTTGAGAGAGAAAATACCAATAATTATGGTTCCTAAGCACAGCAAAACAACATAAGAACATTTAGTTACACAGATTCTTACGCAGCCAACATGGAGAAGACCTTGGCTTAATTCCTAAAATTCAGGAATGAGGGTTCCCTGGAAGACTTACACAATCTACTACTTTGCTGTCTAATGCCAGAGGTAAGCCACACTTTGGGAAAAGGCAGCTATTTTTCTGTTATTTGGTTTGGGAATTAAAGAACAGGTGGACTGGCATTCAACATTAACAGGTGGACTGTTATTTGGTTTGGGAATTAAAGAACAGGTAGACACGAAGAGGATGTACCTCCTGAAAGGAACACATACTTGATAAGCGACATTAAGTTGAGAGTTTTGACTCTTAAAAAGGAGGCTGAGACAAGTTACATAGCAGTTAACACACAGATATTAGTCAATAACCGTGAACCAAGGGTGGAGAAGCAGAGTAATGCCTACTGGATTCCATGTCAACATCACCATTTTACCTCAGGTGAAGCCAGCTGGACTTTCAAAAGCTGGAGTCTATTTGTGGGATCTCAAGCTGTGGGACATCAATCCATAATACCTGGTGTCCAGAATTCAAATCTTGATACATATTTTAATGTATCAAGAGATGGTATATGTAAGTTCATGAAGAACACCCAACATCTATTACAGTACTTGGCATGGTAAGTGTTCAAGAAATGAAAGTTGGGGAGTGCCTATGGCTCAGAGAATAGGGTGCCAGCCCTATATCCGAGGGTGGTGGGTTCAAACCCGGCACAGACCAAACTGCAAAAAAAAAAAAAAAAAAATGCCAGGCGTTGTGGCAGGCACCTGTAGTTCTAGCTACTTGGGAGGCTGAGGCAAGAGAATTGCCTGAGCCCAAGAGCTAGAGGTTGCTGTGAGCTGTGACACCGTGGCACCCTATCAAAGGCAACAAAGTGAGACTCTGTCTTTAAAGAAAAAAAAAAAAAAGAAATGGAAGTCATTTTTATTATTATAGTTAAACTTTATTTCCTTGGCTTCTTAGATAATTCTGAGCAATCTCCACCGGAAGATGTAAAGCATAATGGGAGAGGCTGTCAATCAGAACTCAGGTGATGGGATGAGAGCAGTGGCAACACCTAAGTAAATATATAATTAATTAATAATAATCAAATAAACAGGGGCAGCGCCTGTGGCTCAAAGGAGTAGGGCACGGGCCCCATATGCTGGAGGTGGTGGGTTCAAACCCAGCCCCAGCCAAAAACTACAAAAAAAAGGATAAAGTATAATTAAATACACATCATATTTTGAACCTCACTTCCTGAGGATGAGTGGTTTCTCTGAGACTGATTAAAAGTCGACTTTTAGCTTTCTGTGATTCTAGTCTCATTTTCTATATTTAAAGTATAAAATTGTATTGCTTAAAATATGACTTCAAAACACCCTTAAGAGATTCAAAATAACAGAGATATGATTTCTTATAAACTTAAAAAAATAAAGCAGGGCAGCGCCCGTAGCTCAGTGGGTAGGGCACAGGCCACATACACCAAGGCTAGCAGGTTTGAACCTGGCCCAGGTCAGCTAAACAACGACAACTGCAACAACAACAAAAATAGCTGTGTGTTGTGGTGGGTGCCTATAGTCCCAGCTACTTGGGAGGCTGAGGCAGGAGAATCATTTAAGCCCAAGAGTTTGAGGTTGCTATGAGCTGTGATGCCACAACACTCTACCTAGAGCAACAGCTTGAGACTCTGTCTCAAAAAAAATTAAACAAACAAAAAAGACAGGCCTCTACTCCTGTCCTTATTCCATATGTGAAAAATAATCCATCAGTTAACTAGATTTTTGAAACTATTTCTGGGTCTTTTCCTTTGCCACCTACCCACTGCATTGCTAAGGGGTGAGTGCTATCTCCTCTTTTCCATCCTAGTGGCATTTGGTTTCTACTCAAGCGAGGCAGCATTCTAACCAAGGATTCTACAGATTGTGCTTCCTGTAGCAAGGTCCATCCCTGCTGACTGAGGAAAGTATCAGTTATTTTTCATAGTGTTCGCTGGTCTGTACTTTACGTGAGCTCACGATGATAGGAACTTGTGGCTACTATGCAGAGTGACAGAGTATTAGCTGTGGGGGCCCCTTAACCGCTCTGCTTGCTGTTCTGCAGCATTTCCAGTGAGTCACTGCACCTCTCGGTCATGAGATATCGTGAGAGGTAGCTCATTACATTTTTCATTGTCTCCTAATTGCTACAAAGTTTTTACTTTACATTGGGCCTATAAAAACCATCTGACCTGAGTCTGCCTTAAGTCAAAACAAAACAAGAAGTCTTTATCTCTTTTCCTCTGACAGTACAAGTACTTATGTCCCTACTTTTTCAAACTAAACTGCCCTAATTTCTGGTCCTTTCTGAACTCAAAACTGGAGCCTGCTTCTAGTTCCGTAATTCTATGTTGTTTGAGAGATTTCTGCAAAAACAATAGCCAGTGTTTCTGTAATTTCATACGTTTGGTATCAAACTTGCTTTGACTACGTCTTAGGTCAAAATAACTGGAAGTTTGATCATTTCAATTAAAAAATAGTTTCATCTGCTTATGTGATTTGTTTCCACAACCAGTTTTCTCAAAATGACATGGCAGTAATAAATGTAAGTGACCTAATTCCAATATTTGATGAATTTTTTCCAAAATCCTTTCTAAGTATAAAAAAGGAAGCCTATAATAGATATTTGTTTTTATAAATTTTTGAACTTTTGATGCATTTGCAACATGTAACTCAAAGGAAAGCAACATAAAATACAAAGTAATGTTTATATAAAAGTAGTATATAATAGCTAACATTATTTTCCATAGTGAAAAACTGAAAGCTTTCCGTCTCAGATAAAGAGCAAGACATAGATGCTTCTTCCACTCTCTCTTCTCGGGAAGGCAGGGTGGGTGGCTCACCCTGTGATCCCAGCTCTCTGGGAGGCTGAGGTGGGCAGAATGGCTCCGACTCCATATTGCCTCGTGGAGTGTTACCATCTTACTGAGTCTTCCATTCCATTAACACGAGTGCCTTTTCACTTATTTAGATCTTTAATTTCTTGTAGCAGTGTTTTGGGGGTTTTAGTGTATAAGTCTTGACCCCCTTTGATTAAATTTATTCCTTAGCAGTTTATTCTTTGTGATGCGAATTTCAGTGGGATTATTTTTTCCATTTCTTCTTCAAATTGTTCATTGCTATTGTATAGAAATATAACTAATTTTTGTATGCATTGATCTCTTACTTTGCAACCTTGCTGAAATAGTTTATTAGTACTAACAGCTTTTTGTGAATTCTTAGGACCTACAAAGAGAGATTATTTTGCTTCTTTGTTTCTAGTTACAATGCCTTTTATTCCTTTTTCGTGCCTAACTGTTAGGGCTGGAACTTCCAGTACAATGTTTTTTCGTTTCTATTTTTTTTTTTTTTGAGACAGAGCCTCACTCGGTTGCCCTGGGTACAGTGCCATGGCCTCATGTCTCACAGCTACCTCAAACTCTTGGGCTCAAGTGATCCTCTTGTCTCAGCCTCCTGAGGCTGGATTACAGGCACCCACCACAACACCCTGCTACAGTTTTGTCTTTTCTGTTTTTAGTAGAGATGTAGTCTTGCTTTTGCTCAGGCTGATCTTGAACTCCTGAGCTCAAGCAATCCAACTGCCTTGTCCTCCCAGAGAGGATTGCAGATATATTAAAGCTGATTCCAAAATTTTCTCTACTTTTTGCAGATATAGAAGAGCTAATCCCAAAATTCATGGAGAATTGCAAAACCATCATAGCTAAATCTTGAAAAAGAAAAATAATGTTAGAGGACTTATACTTGCCAAGTTCCAACCTTACCACAAAGCAACTGTTATCAAAACCGTGTGGTATCAGCCTAAAGATAGATACAAAAACCAATGGAACAGATTTCAAAGTCTAGAAAACACACTTTGGGAGACCAAGGCAGGAAGGTTGCTTGAGATCAGTTCAAGATTAGCCTAATCAAGAAGGCCAGACCCTGTTTCTACAAAAATAGGGAGATCAGCCAGGTGTGG